AAGAAAAAAAATAAAAGAAAGGAAGTGATGGAAGGAAGGGATGAGGAAGCGGAGAGAGGGGGAGAGTCCATGATGTATTTCGATACGTAAATAAATACAAGGTCGAGGAGACGAACGTTTCTCGGTTATAAAGGACTAAGTATATGTACATATATACATATATATATATACATGTGTGAGGGTATATACGTCTGGGGATATGTATGCGAGCGCGCGCATTGTATCTGTACATGCCTTTGTGTGTGTGTATGTGTGTTGTGTGTGTGTTGCGTGGTGTGTGAGGAACAGAGGGGGAGAGAGAGAGAGAGAGAGAGAGAGAGAGAGAGAGAGAGAGAGAGAGAGAGAGAGAGAGAGAGAGAGAGAGAGAGATTGCTGTGCATAATTGTCGTTGGAAAAGTATCGGACGTTTGGCGAGTGCGCGTAGCACAGCAACTGGGAGTACATAGAAGACAACGATTTTCCTGGAATCGAACGAGAGAGAGGCGCGTGCGAGCGAGAGAGAGAGTTCCAGGGTTCACGCTCGGCAACGTCGCCATATATCGACCCAGCTGTCGCTCTGGGGGAAGAGACTGGGACACGACCGGCTCCGGTCCCAACAAAAATCTAATTCTTCCATCTCCCTCACCCTCTCTCTCTCTCTCTCTCTCTCTCTCTTTCTTCTCCTCCTCCTCCTTCTCCATCAACAAAGACTTTTTTTTATCCGATGCCTCTCTCGTTATCCGTTTCTCTTTCCTTGCTTTTCATACTTAATACGGTCGATAATGATGTACATTCGAACTGTAGTAGTATAAACGAGAAAAAACCGTACACACGCCATTTTTATATATGTTATATTAGATATATATCTAAATAATATTAATGAATTTTTTCGATTAACATAGGAATGACAGTCTAGGAAGTAAATAGGTAGATAGACAGATAGATGATAGATAGATAGATAGATAGATAGCTAGAGAAAAGAAGAAAAGGTTCCATTTTCTAATGTACTTTTCCATTAAACTGGGAAGTACTTTGACGCATTAATTCTTTAAAGCAGAGATCGAGCACGATATCCGCGTTCTATTTCGATCGGTCGGATGGACAGACGGACGGACGGTGAGGTGGAGCGGTCGAGAAAAGATTCGCGACCCCGGCACCCACCACCACCACCACCACCACCACCACCACTACTACTACACTACTACTACTACTGCTTCTACTACTACTACCATCACCACTACTCTACCACTACCATCACTACCACCACTACCATCACTCTCCACCTCCACCCACTTCCAGAGCAAAGCTCCAGAACATCACCGGCAGCAGCAGCAGCAGCAGCAGCAGCAGCAGCAACAGCAGCAAGAGCAGGAGCAGAAGACCTAGGTATCCCAGCAATAACCCCCGATCCACTAGTGGGAGCTGGTGTCGCCACCATCATCACCACCACCAACCTCTCCACGTCTACCACCGTTCGCGATTCGACCAACCCTCGACGAGATTCGAATCCAAGCCAAACGTTTCGTACACACAAATACACATACACAGGGCTACGAGCTGCTACCCTCTTTGCCTGTGAACCTAACTCAGCGCACGCGGCAATCACCCCCTCTCCTACTACTTTTCTGTACCATCTCTCTTTCTCTATCCCTATGTCCCCCACTACCTTTTTACTTTGCTATCTCTCTCTCTCTCTCTCTTTCTCTAGCTCCTTTTCGATGGATTCTCACACCCTCGCGGCACGTTTCAGCTATACCCCTCTTCTCCCTTCTCGTTTCTCCAATTCCACTCATCCTCCCTCCAAACGATCAAATCTTTCTCAGCTCTCACCCCATATATCCCAACAGCCCATCTCCTTGCCGCCCGCTACTTCCCCCTCTCCAACCCTTCTCTTTCTTCTCTTTACCATTTCTATATATATTTCTCTCTATATCTTTGTCCGTCTCTTTCTTTTCCCATCCCAATCACACTTTATCCTTCGATTCGACGGGGATATCCTACCACCACCATCAGCATCACCATCACCATCACCACTACCTCCGCGCTATTACTAACACAAATACTACTCCGAATATCAACGTGCTTCTACCGGCAACACCATTTTTTTTCTCTCTCTCCCTTCTCTCTTCTCTATTCCTTCTCTCTATGTCTCTGTCTGATCCTTTTCTATGCAATATACGAGCAGCAACGCAGCATGCCCTAGACTGACTCTACTCCACTCGGGGTGTTTTCCCTTTTCCTTGCTTTTTTCTTTTTCCACCTCTCGACATTATTTCCCATCTCGTTCTTTGATCTCCGCAACTTCGTACTTGGAGACCTAACCCTCTACAGAGTTACACTGATGTAATACATATTTAGATCATTTCTCTGTGTGGATTATATATGTATATGATGGATGGATATATAAATTAGGAGGATTTGATTGATTAAAAGATTCTAATCGTTTTCTTTGTGACAGCAACAAAAATATGACAAAATTCGAATATCTCTTATAAGTACAGAGAGCTGTTTGAAAAACTTGATTACATATAAACTATACAGATTTAATTTATTTAATCATTCTTGTGCCTACGCCATATAATAAATAGACGATAATGTATGGCGTATGTATGTATAGATATGTATCCATAAAAACCTGCCTTTTTATTTCGCTTGAGAAAATAAAAAAAAGGAAAACAATAGAAATACAAATTATAAATTTTAAACAAAATATTATCAGACGTAATAAAATGTATAAGATGACAATTATCTATTTTCTGATCGGTGTTATCTATTACAAATGTTTAAAAAAAGAATCTTATCGTAACTCTACATATACATGTATAAATTAATATATGGCAGACCGATATAATTTAAAAATAAAACTATGCGCTACTTCCATACATATATAACTTATCTTTCGTGAGTCTTCGCTTTTAAATAGATACTCATTTTTTTCTTTCTTTCTTTTCTTTTTAAATAGTTTGACGCTTTTGTTTCTAATTAGAACAAATAAGTGGGGATATGAAAAAAGAAAGAAAAAAAAGAAGGAGAGAAAAAAGTGAATTCTTTATATGAAGGAGGACGAAGAGATTACCAATAAAAAGAGACAGGTAAATGTAACGGTTACTTCTCGTTCGCTGAATTTAAACCTACTACGTGCGTGCACATATGTATGATACATACGTATATATAATCATATATATATATATATAAAGAGAAAAAGAGAAGGAAAAAAAGAGAAATTGGCGTTCAGCCAAAGTCCTTTGCGTCCTACGACGACTTTTACCAACACATAAGGTTCGTCGATAGACCATTTCCGGTTGCTGGAAAAAAGAGGAAAAGAAAAGAAAAGAAACGAAAAATGAAAAAAAAGAACAAAAAATAAAAAGAAAAAAGAATTTCACTCGAACTTGGCGGCTTCGTTCGGTACGAAAAAGCGGCGAAAGCGGGTACCATCATGGCTTCCAGTGTACCTTATGTGTGTTTCTAAGCTAACTTCAAGATGATTATATGTTTAACTGTATCTACGATAAGAATAATAATATTCATTGAACAAGTGAATTATATATTAATAATCACTATAATACATCGATATATATACAATATCGAATAAATTGTTTTCAAATATGAAACAATTTTATATAAATGGATCGTTATAAAAAAAATTAATAAACAAGGGAGGAGGAAAAAAGTATAATTGGAAAGGCAAAAGCAACTGAAGTTGGCCATGGTTGGATTCAAAGGAAAAACTAACCAATATTCTTGTATCATTTCAAAAGCACCAGCATGATGATCTTATGTAATATATTCCAACGTGTTAGAAGAAATAAAAAAAGATTGCAGTATTGTAGATAAAATATTATGTATGTATATATGTATATATGCATGTACGTATCTATGTATGTGTTATACGTGCAAGTAGTCATCATTTCGTAAGAGAGCACTATCACTCATAGAAAATAACTTAACAACGCGCAATGGCCTCTGTAAGGCAAAAACGTATGTAACGATCCATGAACGGGGTTCACAGTGAGAAAGAGATAGAACGAGACAGGATAAATAGATGGACAGAGATAGAAATAGACTCTCTGTAACGTCCATTTACGTAACACATTGACGATCGTCGATATGATTCGTGACACAATCGAGATAGGCAGACAGAGAGAGAGAGAGAGAGAGAGAGAGAGAAATAGAGAAATGACTAGCTAGCTTAGCTAGCTAGCTAGCTAGCTATTTAATAAAGCTAACTGGTAACTCTAGCGATCATGTTCGAAGGTTCATTCACAATGTTGTAAATAGAAAAATGGTGGCGAAACACAGCGCACAGGTGTCTTTCGCTGATATTGAAGACGATGAAGAGAGAGAAAGAGAGAGAGAAAGAGAGAGAGAGAGAAAGACGACGATTTTGAATCTTTCATTGAAAATGTATACTGCAAATAAATATCCTATTTTGCATTCCATGGCAAGTGAATTATAGGCAACAAGGTGGCAGCCAGAGAGTACGTCGAGCGGAAAGGAAACACGATCTCTCGTTACGCGCTGCTAAGAAGAAGAAGAAGAAGAAGAAGAAGAAGAAGAAGAAGAAGAAGAAGAAAAAGAAGTAATAACGGCTGGTAGAGAAAGAAAAAGAAAGAGAAATTCGACGATGTGTGACGGCAGAGAATAGGAGGGTAAAGGGAACTCAGAAAAATTCGTTCTGAAGAAAGACGACGACCATGTTTATTATGTTTTACCGATTGATGATTGATTTATTTTCACTTTACTCTTTTTTTCTTTATCTTTTCTTTTTTTTTGTTTTTAGATAAGAGGTGGTGTAGGTGGATACTATCGTAGTATAAAAAAACTAAGTTGTCGGAAACAAAAGAAGAAATATGGCGCCTCTGCATATCCACCATCTTGATTCCATTAGGTAGAGACCAATAGCCGTTGAGAGATGAGTACCAACTAGAGATTCACGTTGATCTTCAATACGTAAGTCGTAAATCTTTATTGTTCATTGGATTATCCAGAGAAGAAAAGGAACGATAAAACGTTGCCATTGGTCACAATTGGTTCCTATTACTCTCTTGCGTACCCATGAATTGCGCGCGGGGTTCTTCCTTCGGCGCGCTTTTTAGTCTCTAATGGCAATAGTCAGATTGGATTATATTGAGGTTAGAATAATATTGATGTATGTAATCAGAGTAGAAATTTAATAGTGTGGGGGTGAGCTCGGGGGAGAAGTAAAACGAGGAATGGAAAATTATATTTTCCATATAAAATTGTATATATATATATGGGTTACGTTTGAAAAATAATCATTAAATTTCATTAGGATATGCAGAAAATTTGAATATTACGTAATATCGATCGTTGTTACTGTCGAGAGAACGAACGAACGAACGAACGAACGAACGAGAGAGAGAAAGACAAACGGACAAACAGACAGACAGACAGAACGAAGAAACGAAGTAAATGTGTATTGTATGGAAAATAGAGCGCGTTTAACATGCGAGTAACGTCGCAATTGGCACGTCTTGTCGAGACACCGAATGCTCTTTCGAGGTTAGAAGTGCATTGCACTGTTGCATGCATCATGCAATAGCGCACGAACGGAATGACGAGTAAAACAAGATGGTGTGCGTGAAGAAATAAAAAAGAAAAAAAAATAAGGAAAGAAAAAAAAAAAAAGAAAAAAAAAAGCACTTGGATGACCTCGTTTGCTTGAAAAAAAGAAAAGAGAAGAAAAACAACACCAAACATAAGAATCTTCGAACAATTTGCCTGTCGCAGTCAATGACTATAATTTAATGTCTGGTGTATCGATCGAAA